AACCAGGAGGAATCACAGGTGTCTGCAGCCAAGGGGACAGGCGTCTAGGTCATTGGATGGATGGCACTTGACCCCAACAGACAGCACTGAACTTGGGCCTTGATCAGGTGGGCATTCATTCCCCTTCCAAACTGGGCAGTGGAATCGGACAAGGAAGGCCTGGGGGCTGCGCCCAGGGAAGGTGGGGTGGGTGCTGGCAGAGTAGAGGGGCACGCACGCACGAAACGGAGCCTGAGGATGTTCCAGAAGCCACGCGAATGAGGCCTGCCAAAAGCGTGGGGCCAGACATCAGAGGGTCCTCCCTTTTGGATGCTTCAGAGGGCTATGAGGAAGGATGAGCTCCTGAGCAGAACTTCTGTTCTAAAAGGGGGTTGGGGGGGAGGGCTAGAGGTGGCTCTTAGGGCTGGACAGCTGTTTGTAGCAAGGTGACAATGGGAACAGGCAGGAAAAGGTGATGGAAGGAGGCCCAGCCCCAAGCAACTGGATTGAATGGAGACGCCCACTTGACATTCAGGGTCTCAAGGTTCTGGGCTGCGGGCTCCCAGGCGCTAGTCCCGGAGGTGGGGGTGGGTGGTGGGTGGGGGGTCCGGCAGGGAGGAGTCTAGGCTGACCAACCATCTTGGTCTGAGAGGGTTGCCACGGACTCAGGATTTTCAGCTTGAAACCTATAAGAGTCTGGGGGCGGGGCGGGGGCGGGGGGGGGGGCGGGGTGGGTGGGAGATACTAAGATGACCTGGCCACCCTAGAAGAAACTGCCTGCAGGTTGAATTCAGCCGCGCAGGGAAACAGCATGGTGGCTAATCACTCCCCCAAAACACCAAGCTGGGGTTCTCCGCCCAGTTCTGCCCAGCGCCTTGCACATTTCACTAAAGAGACGGTTTGGCGCAGGAACCACAGATTCCCCAGCGCGCACAATGGTCCCCACCCCCATCCTCTCACCTCCACAGGGTCCTGGGGCCCCCTCCTCCCCATCTCACGGAGCATCCTCACCTCTGCCTGTCCCCACCTCTCCTCTGAGAAGCGGGCGACTGGAACCTCGCAGACAGGGTTCCCTTCTTCAACCCCAAGTCCAGAGATCCTCTCCTCACCTCGGGGACCAAAGGATTTTACATCTCACTCTCCCCGGAAGCCCAGGCTCTGCCCTGCAGACCTCTTCTTAGCTGCTAACTCGCTCGGCTGTCATCGGGCTCTTGCAACCAGGCCTCACTTCATTCTCTGTCTTTGGGACACAAAGTCCCACTGGGAAGACAAATATGTGGCAAGCAAATGGACTTGCTGGCCACGTTTCTAAACAGCGGCTCTGACAGCGCTATTCTCATCTCCATCATGACATAGATGCGCTCGGACAGAGCAGAGAGCCTTGGCCTCCCTAAGCCTTAGTTTCTCCCGTGAGGATTAACGTTTCTGTGACAGGTGCAATCTAAAAGGAAAAGAAACGAGGGAAGAAGAAAGACCGCGGGGCAATAATTCTTAGAACGGCAGCCCTCACACCTGAGCGTGCATCAGAACCCCCTAGAAGGCCTGGTGAAGTACAGAACCAGGGTCCCACCCCGGAGCACGGGCTTCAGTGAGTCTGGGGACGAGGGGCCTCCCAAGGGAGTGTGGTCCACGGACCACGCTGTGCTCGGAGTTCAGCATCCACATGAAGTTAACGGGAAGATGCCAGCGTGTCTACAACATAGGTCTTTGATGGGTTTCTCTTAGAAATCTGAGGGGCACCCGGGTGGCTCAGTCGGTTAAGCGTCTGACTTCGGCTCAGGTCATGATCTGGGTCATGGTCATGATCAGGTTCTGGATTCCAGCCCCGCGTCAGGCTCTGCGCTGACAGCTCCGGAACCTGCTTTGGATTCTGTGTCTCCCTCTCTTTCTGCCCCTCCCCTGCCTGCGCTCTCGCCCTCTCTCTCTCTCTCTCAAAAATTAACATTAAATTTTTTTTTTTAAAAAACCGGTTCTGTTAAGTCACAAAGCTTTCAACGTCTAAGAAGGATCTATTAGGTCTTGAACAAGATGTTATGTGTGGAAGATTCCTCCTGAGAAGCCTTTTTTTGGGGACCTCCTTCTTCCCTGCCCACCCCCCGCCTTGCCCCAGCTAGATGTAGTCACTGGTCCATCCACCGTGGGCATGGCATCGTCCGAGGGCGCATCCTTAGAGCCCAAGGGACACTGCAGACCCTTTTGGGGTTCTGCTGGCCCTGCACGGAGGAGGGCCCCGACTGCCGTCACCGAGCCCGGAACACAGTAGGAGTGTCATACCCACCGGGTGAGTCCGTGCAAACACTCTTAAAAGACACAAAAACCCTCTCAGTCTACAGAGGTGAAGGCATCTTTCTCCACATAACTATGTCCAATTTAACTTGCACTCCTATGGGCTTGCTCCTGGCAGCCGTTCAAGTTCACCAGCCCTGAACAAACCTATGCTTTCACGTGGCTGCGCCAGCCAGATGCCACCTGTCTTCAGTGGCAGCTCGCAGGGCCCCTGGGGGTCTCCGTGCCTCATACTTGCCAAGGCTTTGTGTTTTTCCCAGCACCCACCCTGCCCTGCCCCTCCGTCCCTCACACCTGCAGCGTCTCTGACTTTATTCCAAAGCAGCCCCTCCGGCACTGGGTCAAAGAACAGGACAGCCCATCTCTTCGTTGCGAAAACGGCCCATTTCATCTCTTACTTAGGGAACGGTCTTCTGACCCGGGTTTCCCGGGCATACAAGGTTTTGGAGCCTGCGGTGCATCTGGTCTGGGGAGACCTGGAAGCTGTTTCGGGTAAGGTGGGCCACTTTGACGAAATGCAGCTGTCAAGGCCTCAAATTAGAAGAAACAGGAGCCAGCTGGCACAACAGGGCAGCAGCTATCTGTTCTGTGTGCCAGGTTTTAGTTACAAGCCTGAAGCCAAAAAAGAAATGGGCTTCTAGGAAACAAAGTGATGGAATTCGCGTTCTGAATTCTATAACCCACCAGCTTTGTTCGGACTAGGGGGGCGGGGCCGGGGGGATACTTTAAAATAAAGTTTTTAAGGTGGAGACATGAAATCAGCAACAACCCCCCCCCCCCGGTGGGGGGCGTTTGGCAGCTGCCCCCGACTCCTTCCGGCCAGCCCTCCCTTTCCTCTCCCCAATTCAAGAAGTTAACAAGTCCTACCCCTTTAAGAGCGGGAAGGTGTTGTTCTACGGGCCTCTAAGCCCCCCTTCTCAATTTCAGCTCTGAGCTGAGATCACATCCCCCAAGGCAGCCAAGGGACAAAAGCTATTTATCAACCCATCTGATAAAACTTCCAATGGGCCGGATCTTTATCTAGACCAAGCCGAGAGGTTCACGAATTGCAGAGTCCCGCTTCTCCAGAAGGCGGATTTCTTATTAAAGGTGACGGGTCCTTATTATTATTATCATTATTATTATTATTATTTTCAGTTTTGGGAAGAGCACCAAATCAGCCTTTCAGCCAAACCTTCTGTGGATGGGAAAACTGCCTTTTAAAAGGTATGTGTGTGAAAAGGCAGCAGGCCACCCCACTGCTGGACTCACTACAGAGGTGTTAATATCCCGGGGCGGGGGTGGGGGGCGCCCACGGGGTCCAAGGGCTCTTTGGGGGCAACTGACACCCCCCATCTTGTCCTTAGCCAGGGCCTCCCCGGTGGAATCCAGAGCTGGGAGCAGGTCGAGGCCGTCCCGGACGCCCTTGGGGCGCGCAGCTGCTGAGTGAGCTGGGCGCGCTGGACTGGGCTGGCGCCGGAGGCCCCGGAGCAGGGCTGGGGCGAGAAGGTAAACTGATCCTTTGCCCCTAACTGCTGCCAGCACGGTCCGCCCGCCCGCAGCCCCAACTTGCAGCCAGGCTGAGCCCGGACTGCCCAGTTCTGCCAGTTCCTGAAACCCAGTTGGCTGGGAAGCAAAACAAAACAACCCAATCCCAGTCTAACTGAAATCCTTTCTTGCAAAGAGCTCGGCGGCGCGCTGGGGGCTGCGGGTCCGCGTCCGGCCCCAAAAGACACCTCGGCACCCCCGCAACACGACGGAGACCGCCGGCAGGTCCCGCCTTGCAAAGGGGGCCGTTTGGCCCGTGACACTGCGTTTATTTGTATTTTTAGCAAGAGAAGAGTGGGTATAAAGGGTTTAACTGGCGTTTCCAGGCTGTAAGGAGCATATGGCCAAAATGAAATAAAGTTTTATGAAACATTATAAAGAAAACAGACCGGGGATTTAAGTTTCGTGCCTTCCCCCTCCCCCCCCAAAAGGGGGGGGGAAGTAAAGAAACTGGAGCGTTTGGGAAGGAACAAATGCTTCTCTGTGGAGTTGGGTCTCCCTTCCCCCAACAAAAACAAGAGGTCCGGGCTCGGAGGAATTTGAAAGCAGCGATCTGCCAAAAACATTGTGAAAAACTATGGGGGATTCATTGGAAACAGATGGCTTTTTCAGCTTTAATTCTGAAATTCTCTCCCTTTCTGACACAATAAAAACAAACTGGGGGCGACGCGGAATGTTATCAAACAGGAACCCGGGCTCGCGGGAGCCCAGTCCGTGGGCTTCCCCGCGTGGGCAGGCGCGTGGGGGCGGGACGGCGTCCCGGAGGAGGGGGCGCCCGCGACCCGCCTGGGACCTCCAGGGCGGCCCTGGCTCCACCCCCGGGCACACGGCAGGTCTGCGCCCTGGTGGGCGAGCAGCGGGAGAAAGTGCTCCCCGCTGCGAGTCCGTGCTCCCCACCCCTCCTTCGGGGGCCCCTAAGGGGCGCGCCCTCGGCACCCCCTTTCTCGCCAGGAGGGAGGCGCCCCTGGCCCCTGCGACCTCCCGGCTGCGGGCCCCTCTCCCTGCAGCCGGGGCGGGGGGCCTGCCACCCCCTCGCGCCCTCGGAGGGGCGCGGGAGAAACAAAGACCCGTGGAGAAGGGAGGCGGGGGTCCCGGGGGCGCCGGCGGACTTCGGCTCCGACTGGCTCGCGGACGCGTGGCCGAGCGCAGCGACGAGGCCCGGGGAGCGGGCCCGGCGGGCCATCCTCGCGCCGAGGGCAGTGCCTTACCTGCGGGGAAGCTGCAGAGAAGGAAGGCGAGGGTCGGCCAGAATCCCAGGGCTGAACGTCCTGCCCCTCTCCCCATACCCATCCATCCAGCTCGGCCTGTTACCACTAGCCTCTCCCTGGAAGAAGAGTTTAGAAGAAAAGAAGAGGAAAATAAATCACGCTGCGGAGAAAGGGCAGCCTCGCTCCGCCGGCGGGAGCAGCGAGCCGGGAGGCTCGGTCCCCCTCGGCCGCGGGCGCCCGGCGCGCCCCCCCTCTCCCCGCGCGCCCCTCCCTCGCCCTCCCTTCCCCGGGGTCCCCTCCAATGTCGGCGCGGCCCCGCCGCCCCAGCCGCCGCGCGGCCCGCCCCCTCGAGCTCGGGTTTCAGCGCGGCACTCGAGGGGTGGGGCGGGGTGGGGTGGGGGGACAGGCTGGGCGGGGACCGTGGCGGCCGGGCTCCGAGGCTGGCCGCGGGGAGCTCGGGAACCCGGGCCCGGGGGCGCAGGGCGCGCCCCGGCTCTCCGACCCCAGCGGCAGCCCGGGCAGAAGAGGCCCAGCCTCCGGACGGCCTGCAGACACCCCCCCCCCCACCCCGCCCCATCCAACCTGTAAATATCCAACTCGTGTAGACACTGCGCTTGGAGACAAATCCCAGGACCCCTTTCCAACCAGACTGCCGTCCGAAAGCCGCCACCGACACCCCCTGGTTCTTTGCTCTACTCGGATGGGTCCCCCATGCAGGAGACGGAAAAATCCGAGGGTGTCCGGGTTGGGCCGCTGGATCTCAGGCACTAACGCACCTCGCGGATCCCTCCCAGGCCCTGGCGGGCCACCCACCCGGCCCGGGCTCAGGGTCTCCAGCATCCTTTTCAGGCACCTCGATGCCTCCCCAGTACTTGCCCTGGCTGCACTCCCGAGTTGGGGGCCTTCGAGCCTGACGGCGACGGCAGGCCGGCTGCCACCCCGGAGGAGGTGTGGGCACTGCGGTCCACTCGGTGCGCAGGCCGCCTGGGGTTGCCAGGGCGAGGCCACCAAGGTCGCTCCTGGGAGGGCATCAGGGTGGTGACTTCCCTTAACTTGGCCGCTTATTTTTCCAGGAGAAAACTGTCTCCTCCCCAAGGTTCCCTAGGACCTGAGGCTCTTCTGCCTCTGCGTTGGGATATTTAAGAGACTGGCAACGTTCCCTGAGAAACATCTTTTGGACGGAACACCAATAGGCCAGAGCAAGTGTTTTGAGTCGAACCAATTCCTCCCGTGGCCCCCCTTTCACCCCTCCTCCAAGCCTGCTCATCTGGCTCTTTGGGAAGAAAAAAAAAATCTGAATTTTTATCCAATTCTTATGTTTCCCTTAAGCACTATCGCAGTCCTCACTCGCAGAAGGCCACACAGGCTGCACGCAGGCCTGTGCTTGGAGCTCTGGCTGCCAGGAGGGCCGTGCGGTTCTGGGCGAGCAAGCCTTGGGCAAGAGGAAGAAAGCCCCGTGTCCTTGAGGTCCCCAGCCAAGCAGTAGTACCTCTGGATCTGCCTGCAGAACACGGAAGGAAGGGGACCGATGACCCTCAGCCAGGGGCGCCACGGGGCAAAAGGAAGCTGTCTTTCCTTGGCATTTCCAAAATGCCATGAAGGCAACTTGTCGCCTTTAGGGTGCCGCGGCATTTCCCCCAATAGTTAGCGCTCAATCCAACAGGCTCTACTTATCCATCCAATCGGGGTTCACTTTAAGCCCCGATTTGCAAAAATGCTACCGTTTTGCCCAGTGAGAGCCCAGCACCTCACCATCCAGGGCCCCAATGGCATTCCTCTAGAGCGGGGCCCGCTCTGGGGCCAGACCTAAGGATTCAGTCCACCGGATGGGAGGATTAACACTGGCACACGGAGGCAGGCACAGAGCCAGGGTCACAGAGGCACCTTTGCGGTCCATCAGTGAACACCATTTGCTGGACTGTGCCTTTCCCGGTTAGTTCTAAAGCTTCTCGCTAATGAGAGAGAAGGGACCCGTCAGCATCTGCAGCGGTGACGCTGTGGCAGCAACTCCAGTGGCCAACTCGGCCCGGCAGAGAGGCCGTGCAGCCTTCGGAAGACCTCAAAGCACGCCTTTCCAACACAGTCCTGGCCTGAGGGTAGACCTTTGGGAAGCAGGACTCGAGGCCTCTACACCTCAATTTCACTGTCTGTAAGGGGCAGGCTGATACTATTGTCACCCAGGGACTGCAACTGACTACAGTCTGGGAGGGGCCCTGGGAACTCCCCACAGTTCCCGCTACAAGACTGGCCGCCATTTTGTGAGGAGATCCGATTCTTATGACCTAAGCGAATAATTTGGGAAAGGGACGTGAAGGACTTCCCCCCGGCCCTCACGAGGAGAGATGTGTGAGGCTGAATTTGGACATCACCGAAGTGGAGATTTGGCTTTTACATAGTTTAGACTATCAAGAGAAATCCAGCCCCCCTCCCCCCTCCCCCCCAAAGAGCAGTATGGGGTTGTGCTGACCTGGAGCAATCTGTCTCTACTGGCCAAACCAACCAGCTTATTGACAACTCCCCAGGTCTTTGCATTAAGAAATCCTTGAAACACTGGGTTGTAGAACTCAGCACTTCACTGGCCACAGAAACTCACTTAACTCAAAAGTGTAGCTGACTTGATACAAACAGTTCCCATTATAGTCTGACCACTTATGGGTTCTCCTCTAGACTGTTCTCTGAGCTTCGGGTTAGAGATTTTCCCTTGCATGGCTCTTGTTTCCTGGGCCCCAGGACCGAACCCTTCTCCCCAGCTCCATGTTCCAGGCACTGCGGCTGTAGGGGGAGGGGCATGGGGCTTCTGAAAGGCAAGGTTCTGCATAAGGCTAAGGCCCTGCCAGGAGTGAGGCGTGTCAGGGACTCCAGCCTTCCCTGCTTCTGGGTACAAACAGGGTGTTCCCGAATCCAGGCTCCGGAGTCATCAGTCAATAAATATATATTCAGGACTACCGCATGCTAGTCCCTGGGGGATAAAGGAATAAATAAGACAGTTCCTGTCTTTGAATCACTGGTAGAAACCGATATTAGAGGAAGGTGAGGGGTAATCGACTAACTGCCCTGGGAAGGCTTTCCCAAAAAAGTGCTGTCTTGTGAGTCGTCTTGAAGGACTCATTCTTAGTAAGAATGACAGCAATAATGGCCGAGGTTTCGATGTGCTGTCACATTATGTCAAGTGCTGCCTAAGTACTTTACATTTCTAGACACTTTAAGCGAAGGTAGGTTCTAGTATCATCCTCATGTTGCAGACGGGGAAACTGAGGCTGAGTGCAGTTAAGCACTCACCCAATTATTGGCTAATAAACTGTAGAGCGGAACACACCAAGCCCATGCCCGATGTGCTCTATGCGCCATTAATTCCGGTGACGCAAGTCCGCACTGGGCTTGAAGTCAAGGCTAGACAGATAACTTAACAATCACTTTCAATAAAGCATAAAACAGGCTCTGACAGCGGAGACGCGGAGCACAGGCGCCAGGGGCCTCCAGCCCAGGCCCGGGTGCAGGATGGGGAGGGAAGTTTTTCCCAGTGTGGGAGGGTCCCGGTGGAGACGGTGGGCGAAGGAGGGGGGCAGGGCAAGGATTTCAGGCAGAAGGAACACTGAGTATAACATGTACCCAGGTGTGGCCTCCCTGAGGGGCTGGAAAGCTTGAGGATAGCTATAGGAGGAGATGAGGCTGAGAATGGCCAGCGCAGGCTCGGAGAGGGTGTCCATGTTTAGCGCACCTGCGAGCCCCACCTGAGGTTTCAAGAGGAGAGATGTATTGTTTTGGGAGACCACTGTGGGGGGCTTAGCAATACGACTACCCAGGACCCGTTCCAGAGCAGCTGAATCTGAATCCCTGGGTAGAGGCTGGGCATTGGCATTTTTAATGAGTTCTCCCAGGTGACTAATGTGTTAGGGATTCGCTAGGGTTGGAATTGCCTCACGCTTCATCAACCCTGGGTGCACATTAAGACTCAGGCTGAGTCAATCAGTTTATCTCCTTGGATTTAAAGGCAAGGCAAGGCAGAGAAATTAATCAGCACTTTCAATAAAGAAGCGATGGGCACATGACCCAAGCTGACCAATCAGAATCTGTCATGAGACTGTTGCTATGGGAGAGATGCGATCCAAGCCAACCAATCAGAATCTGTCCTGAGACCGTTGCTATAGAGGAGCCGCTCCTGGTCTCTGATTCCTACGTGATGGGTCTGCGGGTTGCAATCTGATGCGAAGACCGGTGTTTATGCATGTTGCAGGTAGAGGCTGGGTTTGCAGAGTTAGCATACTGTTTTTTGCTCTAACTGCATTTTCTCTGGTGTGCTTTTCTGGGACAGATGGAGATTTTCAAGGCTCCTCGTACCACTCTCCAGTGTGTGATTCTCCCTGAAGCTCCTCCTCCCTGGTCCAGCCATGGGAGCCAAGGAAGTTCCTCATTTTGCTGAAACTGGTTTGATTTAGGTTTCTCTCCTTTGTGTGCACAGGGTCCTAACAAGGAGGAAGCTGATGGTCTGACACAGGTCCCAAGAAGCATTTTCACCAACCTCACACGTCCAGGGATGTGTTGTTAATGGCTCCCAACCCATCACTCGTTTACTGGTAAGACTTCTTGAGCCCTACCCCCATTGTTGAAAAAATTTTGCTTATACCAAGTCTTGAGGAACCCAGCTGGTCTCATCTACAGCTGAGGGTGGAACCCACTCCTCTTTCATTGAAATAAAACTTAATTTCAAATTCCTCTTTCAAACTTCAAGGGCTCCCGTGGGCCTGGGATTTGATGAGCCAGACCTTGTTTTCTCTCTACATAACTGTACTGAGAAGCCAGAGCTGGTGTGCTGCATTAAGAATATGCAGATTAAAGGGCTGCTTGGGTGGCTCAGTCAGTTAAGCCTCTGATTTCGGCTCAGGCCATGATCTCGTAGTTCATGGGTTCAAGCCCTGGATCGGGCTCCGTGCTGACAGCTTGGAGCCTGGAGCCTGCTTCGGATGCTGGGTCTCCCTCTCTCTTTGCCTCTCCCCCACGCATGCTCTGTCTCTTTCTCTCTCAAAGCAAATACACACTAAAAAAAAAAAAAAAAAAAAAGAGTATGCAGATTATGATTGCCTCAATGAGGGGGCATAAGCCACCCACATGGGGTCAGCAGGCAGGGAGTTCCCTCAGCACCCAAGCTCCCTGCTTTGGGCAAGTGAAACCCCTAAGGTTATTTTGATGGAAGGTGTACTTTCACTAACATGAAAAAAGAATTTGAGTCGCAAGATTTATTGCTCACAGAACCCAGAAAGAGTGGGATGATGGGGTGTGCAGTGAGCCAGGCGAGGGCAGCCTTCCATCCAAGTTCATGAACAGGAGACAGACAGCGGGACAGCAGGCATCTACTGCTTACGAGGGGGTGGGGGTGGAGGTCACTAACTCTTCTTTGGGCTCAACTCTAAGGGTTCTTTCAAAAGGTACCCTGGGAAAAGCAAAGCAGGAGCAAAAGGCAGCAACCCTAAACCTGAGTCCTTACCTGAATGTCCACAGCAGGTTCTCATCATGTAAAACACAGCAGCTCAGAAAAACTAAATTGTTTTTCTCATCACAGTAACTTCCAAGGTTCTATAGGCTTCGACCATATCATTTTTGGGGCTTCATCTTTCCACCCTAAAGCTCTTACAGGACAAAGCAGCCTAGCTTCTCAGGAAAGTCTTCTACCTGGGTGATTACTTAACCTTTCTACACTGCTGAGGTATTTTTCTCTAGGGGAAAGTCATAAAACCACCAGATTGGGGTACAGCCCAGGGAGAATCCTATCTTTGACTTAGTTCCCAATGCGGTTTCTTTCTTTTTTTTTTAATATTTTTATTTATTTCTAGGAGAGAGAGAGAGACAGCGTGAGCAGGGGAGGGTCAGAGAGAGAGGGAGTCACAGACTGAAACAGGCTCCAGGCTCTGAGCTGGCAGTCAGCACAGAGCCCGACATGGGGCTCAAACCCACGAACCGCGAGATGATGACCTAAGCGAAAGTCGGACGCTTAACTGACTAAGCCACCCAGGCGCCCCCCCAATGCTGTTTCTGAAAGCACTTTAGCACCTTCTGAACATTTGGCCCTGCACGCCCATTAGCCCACAAACATTACGCAAAGACCCCCAGGATCCCGTTTGGGGGCTCTAAACAGACCCGACAGAGTCCATTTTGCTATGATTTGGATGATGTTCTCCCAAATGCATTAACTGAAGCCTGCCCCGCTGAAGCTCAAACACGCATTTGCTTGCTAACTCATAAGCTTTTCCTCCAGTTTATCCACCATCTGTCTCCAGACCCTTCATTTCATCCACAGGCCTGGAACTATGTGAGCATTCACTCCTTCAGATGATCTATGGACATTCAGGCTAAGTCTGGGAGCACCAGCGATCCTTGGGGATCCCCACTGTTTATAATTCTTCATCCAGAAAAGTACCTGTTTATCCTATCTTTTGTTTCCTGTCTCTAAGGGCAGTTCCAATCCGTGGCGATTCCCCGCCGCGCCCCGCTCCCCCTAAACACACATTCTGGAGGGACTTAACTATTGCGAATGACCCCCTGGGGTGGAACTCTGTCAGGAGGAATTTTGAAAGTCTAAACATAATTCATCCCTGGGTTTCTCCCTTGTCTCCAGGCCTGTTTGTACCTCCTCAAAGAAGGCTGATAGATTTCTCGGGTTTCACATTCTCTTTGCAGAAAGCCTTTTGTGCTCTGCCCAGTTAATTGGGACTTTAAAATGTGCTTGGTGATACTACCTTTTTAGTGTACGTTCCACAACGTGGCTATTAAAAGTGCCCCTTCCTAGATGGGTGGGCTCCCTTCGTAGGCAGGGGGACCCAAGGTTGTACGCCCTTGGGCGCAGGCCTGGTGTGGAAGGTTAGTGCGCACTGTGACCACTAGGCCATGGCTGCCATCTTTAATTCGCCCTGCTCCTCTCTGTGCAGATGGTCGGGGGTTGGGGGTCATAGGGTTTCCTTGACCTCGTTGTTTTCATGACGATTTAGGAGACGGCTTTTCTTTGCTTCTCTTCTTCCCAAGCACGTGTGAGTCTTGGACTCTGGCAAGGAGGACCCCTTCCCTGTTGATCTCAGAATGTCTTTGCATCCTACTATTTTTTTTCAATTAAAAAAATTTTTTTTCTTAATGTTTTATGTATTTCAGAGACAGAGAGAGAGAGAGAGAAAGAGAGAGACAGCGTGTGCAGAGGAGGGTCAGAGAGAGAGGGAGACACAGAATCTGAAACAGGCTCCAGGCTCCGAGCTAGCTGTCAGCACAGAGCCCGACACGGGGCTCGAACCCACGAACTGCGAGATCATGACCTGCGCTGAAGTTGGATGCTTAACTGACTGAGCCACCAAGGTGCCCCTTTGTGTCCTCCTTCTTTGGCCCATCTTGTTATCTTCGCTCTTCCTGCAGACTTCCTTTCTCTCCGTGTGCTGCCTCCCTCCCTCACCACGAGGGATTCTTATTCTTGGTAATTAAAATGGAGAGATTTCACTCTAGCATTTTGGTGGTGTTGAAATAGATTTTCCTGACATTCCAACGGCTCTCTTTAGGAACCTAAGAAGTATCTCACTTTTCTCTGAAGTCTTTCATGTGGATTTAATACATAAGCAGACTTTATTTGCTCTTGGACATGGCGTTAAATGCATGTGATCAGATCAGTAACACTGTTTTCGCCCACGCAAGGGAGATTCTTTTTATTTATTTATTGTGTTTCTGTTTTACTCATTCGAGGAGCACTCATCTCTGGAAAGCACTTGGCTCTGGGATCTGGGGGGCGGTTGGGGATTCTTAGATGAGCAACGGACAGTCCTGGCCCCTCCTGGAAGCCCAGAGATCGGTAAGGTGTAGAGACAAGTGATTCTCACCACAAAATGCTCAGAACTCAGAGATGGGTGTCTATGAGGCTTCTCCATGTCTCCTGAGCTGAGAGCCCTGCATTGACTCCCCGTCATCCTCACTGCAAATCAACTAGGGACCTTACAAAACCAGTGAGTGACTCAGAGTTGGTGTGTGGGGGTCTCGGTCCCTAACTTCCTTACCACACAGGACCACTGACGGCAAAGACTGGTGACATCTACATTGCCATCAGCCTCACCCTTCTGGAACACCTTCTGTTAAAATCTCACCTGTTGGACATCTACCTCAGACTGTCCCGTGGGCTAGCATTTCTGCTCGTGACTCCACTTGCAGGAATGGAGCCTGGAGACATTCAGAGCTTGCTGAACTAGCTGGGCTTGGGACATCGGTATGGATTGCCCCACTTGGAAACTCCCAGAAACATACCCCGATGGTAGGCATGGGCATACTTGCTGTGCTGGGAAGATATACCAGGGATTTTTTTTTTAAAAAAAGAAAATGCTAGAAGAATAAATTTTCTGGGCTTTCCATTTCCTTCCATCCAGCATCAAATTTAGTAAAATTGAAACAGGAATATATGTGCATGATTAAAACAAGTCAACTTCCCGTCAAATGAAATTAGGTGGCAATGACTATTCAGTTTCACGTGCATCCTTCCAGATATTTCCACGTGCATGTAAGCACATATAAAATCAATCGGACTAGCTCATTCGCTATCATTTCGCCAAGAATGACTAGCAACCTTCTGACTGCTTTAAAGATGCTTATTCCGTCCCGTCATTTGGAAGTCCGACAACTCACATCTACAACTCCCATCTTCTACTTACGCTGTAGAAGGTAAGTAACCAGCCTGATGTCACCCTGCTGGCTGGGTGGCAGAGCGGGGTCTGGGCGACTCCTGGCCTTCATGTCACCTCTGCTGAGCTCGCCAACCCCTTCCCAGACTGAGACGTCACGTCTCCCCTCTGCCTCTACTGACCCTACTCCACCTTCTGTGTTCACCCTCTTGCTCAGATTCTCTTGCGTCCTCTCTGCCTACCCCAGGTTGGGCTGGAGGCGCTGTTTCTGGCGGCGCCTTTCCACGGTGTTTGGATTTGAGCAGTCCCTCTGCCTTTCCTCGCCTCTCTCTCTTGACTTCTGAGTTTCCTAGGCAACTTGGAGCAGCCAACACTTTTTCTTTTGTGACATCTCCCACTCCTTCTTGCAGGGATTACAGACTAGCGTATAATTGGAGTGTCACCTATGAAAGTCTCGCTTCCCCTCACTTCCTTCTTGGGACTCAGGACCGTGACTCTGGCGCACCTCTACCGTCTGGTCTACAGCTTGCAAATTCTTCTGCCTACAGAGCCAGAATGAAAATGATGGCATTTGTGAAGTGCTTATTTGTCAGGGTCGAGACTGAGGCTTTCTAGACATTGCAGTGGATCTGGGGAAAGAGAGAGACGGAGGATTTGGGGCGGCTCCACCTCTAACGTTGTGGCCCCTGAATGTTCTATCTTGTCTCTGGACCCTCAGCCTTGCAATCTGCAGAAGTGTGGCCGGGCTGCCCCCAGGAGGGGTCTCTAGGGACCCAGTGAACTGGCATTAGCTCTGTAACTAAGTGACCTCACCTACACCTGACTCCAACGGGCCATGCCCGGGCCTCATCTGTAACATTTGGGGGCTCCCCAAGTAAAAATGTGGCTGTGCGAATTCCTCAGCTATAACCCCCAACAATACCGCCCATGCCTTACGAACATGTAATAATCTCTGTTTTAAAGAAACTTTAGGGTACCTGTGCCCAAACACACCAGGTTCCTGTAACAGAGAACAGACCACCCAGTGTTTACTTCTTCCCACTCCAGGAAGTACTGGGGAGAAGGACCAGCTTGGAACCATTTACCCACCAAATGGCAACTGTCTGAGCTGACAGTGAGGCTGTCTCTCTCTGTCTTAACCAGCACCGGGCTGGAGTATTTGGATTAATGAACAATTTGGTGCCAAGCACAAATACCATACACATTTAGTAATCGGGACAGATAACCAAGTTATTCATCAAATTCAGAATTGTTTAGAATGACTAACGCAAAGCCGAAACACAGAAGATCCTGGCCGATGGGAGGTGCGGAAGAATGCCAACACAGAGGCAAGAACAAATGTGTTGCTTTATGTGACATCCTCTGCCTCCACCATTGTTTTTACATTTGTCAGAGGCTTCACTTGGACGTGACAGAGTCAACACAGCCTTCTGGCTAAGAACATGCAGTCTGAGTACCGGCCCTTTACATCTGGTAAGTGGGGATATACTTGAGCCTCTGGATGTGTGGGATCTGGGGGGTGGGGGAGTATCTGTAGAATCCTGCAAGGACTAACCTTGACTCCTGGGTGGGTTCTAAGTGCATTGCCAGTTACACGCAAGTTCTGCTGAGCAACCACCATAACACAAAGTCTCCTACCGTCGAGTCGTCTCAACCGTGTTCGAGGATACAGCTGTCTCCATTTCACACAGGAGGGCGCTGGAGCTCTGGGAGATGAAGTGATTTGTCCAAGGTCAGTAAGAATATCGAGGGCAGGGAGAGCCTCAGAACCTGGCCTCGTGGTGGCAACTTCAGTGCTTTCCCCACCAAACTACAGTGGCTTCTCATCTTCACCTGGCATTTATTTTTTTTCTGTTAGTCAAATAATATGCTCCATTTATAAAATAGTGGGTCATGTGTTAGAAACGAGAACATGTTGGGGCCCCTGGGTGGCTCAGTCAGTTAAGTTTCTGACTTCGGCTCCAGTCATGGTCTCACAGTTTGTGAGTTCAAGCCCCACGTTGGGCTCTGTGCTGACAGCTCAGAGCCTGGAGCC